CCCTCAACAACAATCAACCTATTTGTTCAGAACTACAAAATTGTTTCAGAATTGTTTTGCCCATTCCACTAAAACAATAAAATGAAACAAACAGGCTGGGGGGAAGAAAAGGCTTAGGACTTGTTTGCAATTATTTTCCCACTCAACCCCAACCTGCCAAAATACTGAACACAAACACTGTGTTCACAAGTTACTTGAATTGGTTTTTTCTTTTGTTTTTCTTAAGTATAGTAACGGTATTCTTTTGAAAATCAATTGGATTCCTTTGTTTCAGTTTACTTGCAATTTTAGGTTTATTTTTGCCTTCCTATCATGATCTCCTTGTATTTTTTTTTTGAATGAGAATATTAACGTGCATCCAAAGGCAAAAATTACATAAAACAGAATTCTCAGAGAGGTGTCACTCCTTCATCGTATCTACTCCATGTCCACCCATTTTGTAGGGAACCTGCTTCATTGCTGTGTCGTTTATCCTTCCTTTGATTTATTTTACAAAGATAAGCAGGTTATATAATATACTTTAATTTTTCTGGACAAAATGTAACAACTTACATATGCTCTTTTGCATTTTGCTTTTTTAAAGAAACTGGATCATATTTCCTGGAAATCACTCCATATTATTTAATGGAGATCATTCTTGTTCTTTTCTGTAGCAGCATAGTACTCCATTGAGAGTATGTCCCAGAGTTTATTCAATCAATTGTCAATGCTTGGAAATTAAGGTAGTTTCCAATTACAAACAATGCTGTGATAAATGACCCTGGCATAGCAATTTAAAATTATTGGAGATATATCTTCAGGGTAAGTTCCTAAAAGGGAGACTGCTGTGTTGAAGGGTAAATACATATGTAGATTTGTTAGCTGTAGCCAAATTCTCCTGTAGAGAGGTGTGCCATTTTGTATTCCCACCATCAATGTACGAAAGTGCCTGTTTCAAAACAGTCATGGCCAACAGTATATTGTCAACCTTTTGAGCTTTTGCTAATCTGATGAATGAGAAATCGCATGAGTATAGGTTTTTTAAAAAATAGCTTCATTGAGGTAGAATTTACATACAGAAAAGCTTACTAATTTTAGATATACATTTTGGTAACTTTACTTAACCCAAGGTCACAAAAGTTTTCTTAAGATTTAATAGTTTCAAGGACTGAGCACAGTGGCTCACGCCTGTAATCCCAGCATTTTGGGAGGCCAAGGAGGGAGAATTGCTTTAGCTCAGGAGTTCAAGACCAGCCTGTGCAACATAGTGAGACCTTGTCTCTACAAAAAGTAAAAACGATTACCCAGGAGTGGTGGCACACACCTGTCATCACAGCTACTTGGGAGGCTCAGGAGAAAGGATCACCTGAGTCCGGGAGGTCAAGGCTGCAGTGAGCTATGATTGTGCCACTGCATTCCAGCCTGGGTAACAGAGTGAGAACCCAAGTCCAAAAACAGAAAGAAAGAAAGAAAGAAAAAAGTGAATTCAATTGTTTCCATTGAATTGTCTTTAAGCCTTTTTGAAAATCAAGAGACCATAGATGTGAGTCAGTTTCCACTTGTGTTACTCAGATTTCTGTTAGCTTCGAGCTTAAAACTGCAGAAATAGAAAATGTAGTTTCTATCCTTCCCAACCCCCAAGAGGACTGGTTTGCCTGATTATGTTCATTCTTCAATTCCTTTGGTACTTGCTGGTTGCTTAATGTCTAGAATTTAGAGTTGTGTTCTGTTGAGGGGGTCTCTTTTGGCAGGGTCTCAGTCCATCATTACTAGAAGATGGATTTAGTCCATCATTACTAGAAGATGGAAGTTCTATCTCAGTGTAGAGTTAACTGAAATTTCTCTTATTGTGAGAGAGAAAGATTGAATATCTTTTCATATGTTCAAAGGATATTTTATATTTTTTTGGTAAATTTTCTGTTTGTGTCTTTTGCCCATCTTTGTATATAATTTTTGGCTTCTCTTCAACTGTTAAAACTTCTAACTGGTTATTATTTGTCTATATGGATATGATTGCATTCATTTTGCACATCAGTTTTATATCTTGATAGCTTATTCCTTTTTTTTTTTCTCTAGAAACTGGGTCTTGCTATGTTGCCCAAGCTGGTCTTGAACTCTTGCCTTCAAGTAATCCCCCTGCCTTCCTTAGCTTCTCAAAGCACTGAGTTACAGGTGTGAGCCACTGCAGTCGACCAGCTAAATCTATTTAGTCTTATCATCGACTCTCTAGTGTTTTCTAGATTACTATATCATCTGTAAATAGTTTCATTTTTTTATTTTCCAATTCATATGCCACTAATTGTTTTTCTAGTCTAACTGGCATCTTTGTTTTTTGTGATACTTTTATTAGACTTATGTGTGCTTTATAAAAATACTTTGGAAATTTTCTTTCTTTTTTTAATACTTGAAAGCAATTTATGTAGTTTTGGGATTGACTGACAAAAGTTTGGTTAAATTTTTCCATAAAACCATCTGGCCTGGTCCTTTTCTGTAGCATAGTTTCTTGATAACTTACTTTATTTCTTATATGAAAATTGGTCTTTTAAACTTTCTAATTCCGTTGGGGTCAGTTTTGGGGAATTATATTTTTCTAAGAAAACTCTTCCTTTTAACACGTGAGCTAATCCCATTCATGTTAATTAAGATGACTATTTTGTTTGCTCTCAGTTCTATCATATTATCTTATGTTGAAAATATTGTATATATTATATTTACTGCATTTCTTTTTCTTGTGTGTCCCTTTTGCTTTTTTTTTTTTTTTTTTAATTTCTTTTGAATATTTAGGAAGTTTTGTATTGTGATTCTATAGGTTACCTTTGCATTATTATTTTTTGAATGCCTGCAATCCCTTCTACTTTCACCTAATCTTTCATCATCTGGTGTCAGTTTAAGTGATATTTGTTGGCTGCTACCCTTTACTTATACAACGGAATGATTGTATTTTATTTTCCCTTATCCTCTCATTTAAAAAATTTGCATTTCTTTATTTTGGTTAGGACATGTAATGTTTATATATTTTTCTTTCACCGAGGAACTTACTCTTATTTTAGTCTCTGCTGTATAATACAATATATGAAGCTCTCATTGTTTGGAAACTTTTGTCAAAGTTATTTTGGTCATATTTTAGTTGGATGAAACTCATCCTAGCCTAGATTCCTCAGGAATATCACATGTGTACAGTATTCTCTTAATACTGGCAGATTCCAAACTGTTTTCTATGACCTTGAAATCTTAAAGTCAGCTTGGCTTACTTACAACAATGTTGGTTCCCATTTTTTCCGTTGGTGTCTTGAAAATGTTGCTTCAATATTGCCTTGTATATTGTTTTGAGAAGGCTGATGCTGGTTTAATTCTATTGCCTTATACGTTATTTGATTTTTTTACTTGGTTATGAGTATATCATGGAGTTGATCTTTTCAGGTCCAATGTCCCCAGTACCTGATATTAGATTCAGGTCTTCTTTTAATTCTGGAAAATTTTCCTAGATTATAGTCATAAATATTAATGCTGTTCAGTTGTTTTGACTTGAGTATATCCTTCCTTGAGCACCTTGTAATTGTGCTTGATTACTGATATGATTTTGTTTTTTCCTTATTTTCTTTTCTAAGTTTTATCAACTCTCAATTCACTATTTCCTGGGTTTTTAAAAAAATCAAATTCTATTCTTTTTTTTTAAAAAAAGTTTCCAATTTGAAGTGTTTTTTTTCTTCTTCTTAGTCCCAAATGCTTATTTGAGAATATTTAATTGAGTTTAGAGTGTTACATGAGTTTTATTCAGCTTTGCGGTTCAATTGCTTTGGAAAGTTTTCATTAGAAAGAAAGCTTTAACTCATATTGTCTGATTTTTGCAGTTGTTTTGTAATATTGGGACAGAATCCATTTTCTATCTTTTTATCTCAGAGAAAAAGTTCTTAGTTCAAGAGCACCCTCTTCTGTGCAGTTTCTTTCATGGATCATGTTGTTGATGGTCATGGGTGTGGGGTGGTATGTCTTTTTCTCTTTCATGTCTGTAAGACACTTTATTTTCCCCTCTTATTCTTTCTTTCCTGTCATTGCCCAGTGTCCAAGGGGCTCTATTCATTCTTTATTGAGCTGATCCACCCCCAGAACCAATGATGCTTCAAGGCTGCCACTTCTGATTACACATACCTTGAAGTCCCTTTCTTGTAGTCGGTACTGAGAACCACCAAGTCCTGACCTATGTTTAGTACTTTGGCATTTATTGTTACACTTCTTCTTTCTGGGGATGATTTTGTTTGTACTTTATCTAATTCTTTTCTTTCTTTCCATTCTTTTTCAGAATGTTTTAAAGACTTCCCTCTTCTGTTCTCTGTCTCACAAGTTCACAAGTTTCAGTGGCAGAAGCTTTTTTTTTTTTTTGAGCTGCAGTTTTGTTGCACTTTTGGTTACTCTATATGTACTTTGAAGGTTGTGATGTTCTCTGTCACACAGTCATATTGAAAATGTGGGTTCTGTATGGTTTTATTTTGTTCTCTTTGCAGATTTTGTTTATGTTTTCTAGGGGGACAGCATGAGAGAGATTCAAAATCAGGCGATCACCATGATCTCTAACAGTGTTTCCTTATTTATATTTTATGCTATTTGTGTTTTTATTTTACAATATTATCATGTTTTATTGTAAGCTATCCCAAATTCTTTGAAGTATGATGCAAAATGAAAACAAATTTTCACTTTTTATTAATAACTAAATGTGAAAAAATCTGTTTTGGGAGGGTTTTTTTGGTCTGTTTTGTTTTTTTCTGCAATAAAATGAGGCATGACTAACAAAATACAGGAAAAAACAGAAAAACCAATGAGAACGGTCATTTTGGTCCATGGGTATCTGGTTTTGAAACCATTTCAAAAAGAGTTTTAACTATTTTTTTTTTTTAAGCAATAGTAGCAGGAATTAAGCACAGGTACAACAGGAATGTTACAAAGCATCACTGATTTATATTTACACCTCATATGCTTATGCACACACACAAAAGAGCACACATATACACAAAACATGCACTTACTTGTTTTACACTCTGAAGCTCTTCTGTCAATTGTTTTCTTCGTTTCTCTGATTCAAATAATTTTTCCTATATTTAAAAATCGCTGAATTAATAATGTATTATGAAAATACCAGTAATATGATTTTAGTCCTTTGTTTCAAAACTTATATACTCCCCAAACATCAAATTGCTGTAGTCTAAAAATACAGTTCCTAGTCACTTTTCTGACTTTGTATATTATACTTAAGAGTAATTAGTTACTATAGTATAATTGTGATGTAAATAAACTTCCTATTACCTTAATTTTTGTAAAAATATCAAAATCTGAGATTGAAAAAAGTCAGTAAGATTCAAAATATGTAAATATTAACTAAATTTTGGGCAATAGCTATCATTGCCAAAGAGCTTCCAAATTGAAGAAAAGTATTATTATAAATTAGAAGTAAAGGTCCCCCATTATACTAAAAAAGATATATGAGATGAAGTTGAGTCTTTGTTTCATAATTTAATTTTAGCTAATTGTTGGATGATTATCCATAAAAATATGACTGGTGTAATTAAAATATAAAATAATAGTCATTAAGGTAGATGGCATTATGCATTCAAATAAAATATCTCTGGACTTAAAATTAAGTCAAGCATATACCCCAAAATGTTCAATGTTCTCAAGTACATCTCAAATAAGTCCATATTTTATTGATCAAATCAGAAAAACTAAGAGTAATTTAAGAGTCATTTTACTATAAACGAGAAGAAGAACTGAATGAACATTAAACTGAATGGTAAAGATTCATGGCAACATTCTAGTATCTGTAAGAGGCAATCTACTTTCTAGTATATTTCAGCTCATTTTTGTCTAAGAGGTGAAATGAAGGTATATAAAGATGAATATAATATAGCAATCTAATGAATATGTCACAGACCAGGAGCCAAGAGACTGCTGGCTCCTGCTTTTATGATCTGGCAAATCACCTTCACTCTTTGCATCCTAGATTTTAGGCATCTGTAAATGGAAAATATATCTATTTTCATTCACCTTTGCAAAGCAGTAGCAATGTGAATTCTACAGAAAGGTTGTTAAGTTAAATAAGGCCCACAGTGCTTTAAAAATCATTCTTGCACAATAAAAATTAGCTAGTGACGTAAAATTATCTTGGTCTCAATTTTATTTGTATTTCATATCAAACACGAAAAACAAAGATGTCATAGTATAATAAAAAGTGATGAGACACCATCTACATACTTATAAACTTCATTTAATGACCTCTGCTGTCTTTTTTGTGTACAATGCAAGCAGAAAAGTTGAAAACAAAAACATTACCGTAAACAAAATACTAATTACTTTGCACAATATTTTATATAGATTATTTAAGTGGTATTCAATCAATAGATAGGTTTTGAGGTATAGTAACGATAAAACATAAAATTTGTTGTATCTTTAATTTTAGCACCATGCTCTGACAAACTAAGCTAACTGGCTTCTGGTTTATCTAAGATGTTAAGTTTTGTCACATTAGGATATGTTCAGTTACATTTTATTAACTTTGTGAATCTTGATTTATTCAAGGGTTCCTCAGGGCAGTCTTGTTTAAAGGTTAAATGAATATGGAATATACAGTTTTAAATTAAAATTCTAATAATTAATATTGATATTCAAACAAGAACTGAAATATATCATAAAATTTAACAGTAAGAAACTTTTAAGCAAATGAAAGAGATCTGAGAACCTCTGAAAATTTAAATGACAATTTAATGGCTTATATAGAGATAAATTACATAAAAATGCTATCTTATTAAGGTAATCAGCTTTGAGGAAGTTTTTGAAGATAATATGAAGAAATGACTGTCAATGTATTTTCAAAACTAAATTTATACTTTCCTTTTAAACTCTTGTTACATAAAAAAAAGTGGGAAAATAGTTGTCTCAAGCTATAAAAAGAAATATAAAAATATTCCTGTAGTAGTGGAATGCTCATCTACATTAGGAAGTAAAGTAAACTGGCAAAGTCCTTTGAAAGGGAATTTGGGAACATACATAGAATTTCATGTGTCCATATCCTTTAATAATACAGTTCTAGTATCAGAGATTTATTCTGTGTATAATTTTGTATAACTGCCCAAAGATATATCTACACAGCTGCTGAAGGTGGAATTACTTTTAATAATGAAAAACTGGAAACAGCCTAAGTATCCATCAATAGAGAATAACAAAAAAAGCCATCTGATATGTAGAGAGTCTTCCAAACAATTTGGTAGATGTATACATATTAACCTGAAGAGCTGCCCAAAATATAATTCTCACAAAGAGAAAAATAGAAGGCAAGTTGTAAAAACGTATGGATGGATGAATCAATTTATGTGGAAGTTAAAATACACATATACATCTTTTTAACTTTATTATTATTTTTTTGAGTTGGAGTTTCACTCTTGTCGCCCAGACTGGAATACAGTGGCACGCTCAGGCCATGCAGCCTCAACCTGCTGGGCTTAGGTGATCCTTCTGCCTCAGTCTTCCAAGTAACTGGAGCTACAGATGCATGCCACCACACCTGGCTAGTTTTTGTGATTTATTGTAGAGATGAGGTCTCACCAAGTTGTCCAGGCTGGTCTCGAACCCCCGGGTTCAGGCAATCCTCTCGCCTTGGTCTCCCAAAGTGCTGGGATTATAGGCTGAGCCACCATGCCCAGCGATCTTTTTTATTTTTAAAGAATTTTTAAAAGAGCAGTGTTGGTTAACAGTAAATTTGAGAAAAATATGCAGAGATATATACTTCTATAAACACCTGCCTCCACCTATACAGTTATTTAAAAAATATAATTGGTGGCTAGGTGCAGTAGCTCACGCCTGTAATCCTAGTACTTTGGGAGGACGAGGTAAGAGGACAGCCTCAGCCTACGAGTTTGAGACCAGCCTGGGCAACTTGGCGAGACCTCACCTCTACAAGAAAATGAAAAAAAAATTAGCTGAGTGTGGTGGTGCATGCCTGTATTTCCAGCTACTCAGAAGATAGAAGGATCATCTGAGCCCAGCAGGTCAAGACTGTGGTGGCTGTGAAACTCCAACTCAAAAAAAAAAAAAAAAAAATTGGCTATGTGAGGAAACTCTCTGAGAAAATAATGTATGCTTAAACAATGACTTCCTCTAGAACTTAGAATCATAAAATTTAAGGCAGCAAGAAAAATTTATTTCTTTTTCATGTAAAGATTTTAAAATGAAAATAAAACAATTATCAATAAATTTTTACTTATTTAATAAACTAACTTAAAATATAAGATATATTGCTTTTCTTGAAGATTCAGAAAGTAGAACAGCTTTCTGAAAAATCAGAATATAATTTAAATTTAATATTCTATTAAAACAGAATAAAACCTTATGAAGAGAAAAAATGTTACTAAATATTTGGTATATGCATGTTTTTCCTTGCTTAAATTGTATTGCCTTAATTCCAAATTACATTAGCAAAACATAAAGTCTTTTAAGAATGACCCTGTACATTAAAAAAAGAGTATATTTTTCAATGAACTTAGAGGATTCAAAATTGCCGTGACTTGCTTTGCTGGCTCCTTGTCCAACTCTGCCCAAGCTACTAATGTGAGAGAATTAATGTGAGAGGGGTAAGAAATAGTCTGATCAGAAGACATGAGCAAAACCCACTGTTCACATTAAATGTTACATGAATATTGTGAAATATAAATAAGTCTTGGACTAAAATATTAACGCTCTAAAGGTCAACTGAATAAAGAATCTGACTTTAACTATTTGATATTAAAAAAATAAGGACTTTCACAAAGTCTCAGGGTACAAAATAAATGTGCAAAAGACAGTTGTATTCCTATATACCAACAACAAGCAGGCAAAGACACAAATTAAAAGCACAATCCCATTCACAATAGCCACCAAAAAAATGAAATATCTCGGCATCTAACTAACCAGAGAAGTGAAAGACCTTTACAATGAGAACTACAAAACACTGCTCAAAGAAATCCAAGAAGACACAAATAAATGGAAAAATATTCCATGCTCATGGATATGAAGAACCAACATTGTTAAGATATCCATACTACCAAAGGCAATCTACAGATTCAATGCAATACACATTAAGTTACCAACAACATTCTTCTCAGACCTGGAAATGACAATACAGAAATTCATATGGAAACATAAATGACTGCAAATAGTCAAAACAATCCTTAGCAAAAGAAACAAAGCAGGAGGTATCACACTTCCAGGCTTCAAACTTTACTATAAGGTTACAGTAATCAAAACAGCCTGGTATTGGTACAAGAATAGGCATATAGTCCAATGGAAGCAAAGCCTCAATTTCTCAACTAACTCACCTTTGACAAAGACTCCAACAACAATCACTGGGGAGAGGAGAACCTATTCAGTAAATGGTGCTGGGAAAACTGGCTGATCACATGCAGAAGACTGAAACAGGACCCCTATATATCACCACACACAAATATTAACTCGAAATGGATCAAAGATCTAAATGTAAAACCTCAAACTATAAGAATCTTAGAAAACACAAGGAGACACCTTTATGGAAATTGGAACTGGCAACCAATTCCTATTTAGAACCCTAAATGCCCATACTTTAAGAAATAAGATAGACAAGTGGGACCTCATCAAACTAATGAGCTTCTGCAAAGAAGAAGAAGCAAAAGAAATCATCAAGAGAGCAGGGAGACAGCCCTCAGAATGGGAAAAAACATTTGCCAACTGTATATCTGACAAAGGCCTAACATCTAGGATCTACAACGAACTCAAATGCCCCAAAAGGAAAAAACAAACAGCCCTATTAAAAAGTGGGCAAAAGACATGAATAGATACTTCTCCAAAGAAGATATACAGGCAGCCAACAGACACATGAAAAAGTGCTCAGCCTCACTCATCATCAGAGAAATGCAAATCAAAACCACGTTGAGATACCACCTAACTCCAGTAAGAATGACCATCAATAATAAACAACAACAGATGCTGGCAAGGATGTGGAGAGAAAGGAATGCTTCTACACTGCTGGTGGGAATGCAAACTAGTGCAACCTCTTTGTAAGACAGTGTGGAAATTTCTGGAAGAACTAGAAATTGACCTTCCATATGACCCAGCAATTCCCCTATTGGAAATATACCCGGAGGACTTAAATCATTAAAAATGCATATGTATGTATGCATATGCATATGTATGTGTTGCAGCTCTATTCACAATAGCAAAAACATGGAACCAACCATGTTGCCCATTGAAGTTGGACTGGATAAAAAAATGTGGTACATATACACAATGGAATATTATGTAGCCATAAGGAAGGACAAACATTTGGACTTTGCAGCAACTTGGATGGATTTACAGTCGATCATACTCAGTGATCTATCACAGAAAAAAAGAACAGCGTACCATATGTTTTCACTCATAAATGGAACTTGAACAATTATTATAATACTATAAGAAAGGGATTGGCAAACTGAGAATCCCTAGTGTGAAATTGTCAGGGGAGGAGGGGTGGGATTGGCCGTTGAGGGAAACTGCTAGGTGAGGGAGGGGCATACCTCATCAACAAGGGTACCTGCATAATCAACGTTTGTATACCTAACCCTGAATTGTACCCCACATCTTTATAATAAAAATAAAAATAATAAACTTGCATCATTAAAAAAAAAACAATGAAATGCCAGTATTTTAGAATCCAACACAAGAGTTTTTTTTTTTCTTTTTTCTAAAGAAAATATAAGGAACCTAAATTGGAGGTTACCTTAAGTATATTCACTTCTTTCAAGGCATCATTTCTTTCATGCTTAAGTCTTTCTATTTCATCTGCTTCTAAAGAATCACAGGGAAGAGGCTGTCAACATTAAAATATAAGAGAAAAGTTATGCATTGCATGCTAATTATGAGAACTAACATAAAAATCCTTTTCACCTAGTCTTAGGCTTTTGCATCATTTGATTAGATAAAACAGAATTTTAAAGTAATCTGGGGCAATTTCATTTATTTAAGGTTAACCTTACATTACTGCTACTTATAACAGAATTTTTATTTTAAGGTATACATACTCAGTTGTCACCTTTATGATTCTTATTTTAACAATATAATTTTCCTTAAAAGTCCAAAGACCATATCAAAGACTTTAGGAGCTATCAACATAAACCTAAAAGTACAAATTCCAAAACAGTATCAAAAAGACTTTGGGAGTTATCAACATAAACTATTCCGTAAAGATATTCATTCCAAAAGCATGGCATCTAAGACTAACAAAATGCTTAACATTATCAATCAGATGGTTTACATGAGCCCAGTAATGTATATTTATCAATTATGCATCTGGTTTTAACCAAATAAAACAAAAGACAATAGCAAAGTGGCTTAAAAGATTTCTGAACAGAAGTTATAGATTGAAGATAATATTAATAATTCATGCACAAGTGAATAACAACAACAAAAACTGGAGAGATGACAATTTATCTTATGTCTCTTAGCATGATCTTTTTGACAGTAAATTACAAGGTAAAACACAATGACAATCTAATCAAAGGAAAAATTTCCAAGTCTAATTATAGCCATTTTCTAAATGGAAGCCGAAAAAAGGACAGAAAATATCATTTAAGCTATATAATTTAAATAAAATTTAATTTAATATAACCCTGTTAAAGGATTAAACAGAGAAAGCAACTGTTATATAAGTATGGACTTAAAGGAGGGTCCTTTGGATAGGAGAGGTTAACATGCAGTAGGAGAAAATAGTAAAAATAATATCAACCATATATTAGAAATTACTATGTGAAGATGCATTGCTAAAAACTGTACATACTCAATATTATAGCCTTACAATAACCTCGTCTCCATTTTACAGTGAAAAAACAAACTCAGAAAGGTTAGCCTAGGGTTTCACAGCTTAGGATGTGGTCATTCCAAAATTCCCACAGAGGTTTGACATCATACTCTGTGATTTTTACTAACTATTCAACAAAAATTACGGTAGAAAGAATATGTTAAACTCATATTTGCTTGAATAACAAAAGTAAAAGTTACTTTTCAAGTGTGGGGAGAAACTGTATTCCCTAAACATTACTGGTTCCTTTTGCCCTACCATGTAAGCACTTGGGCATCTATGGCCATTGTCCATAATTACACGATCTCATATTCTTTATCTATCTCTGCTACTCTACTCTCTCAGAAGTATGCAAGACACACTCATAAGAATTCATTACTATATTGTCTTAGATTAGTTTTGGATATATTTTAAAATATAATAATATTTCCCAAGATGTGTTCCAAAGGCTTTGTACTGGTTTTATAAGAAAGCACAATTGGGTGGTAGTAAAGGTGGTAGTGGTATAGGATTTAGAAAAAAAATCACCTTATTTTCTGCATGGCTTCCAGAAGCTTTAATATGCTAATAAGCACTTGAATGTCCAAAAAGAAAGTATAACTTAACAACCTGTCACATTTCCTCAGTAATTTTACCACACTACAAACTCTCAACCTACCCCACTGACTTTATTTATTTATGTCTTAAATCATGACATTAAAGTCTTCAAAGCATAATCTGTAAAACAATGCTACTCAACATTCACATGGGTCTATTCAATCTTCTTATCCTAAAATGTGAAATGAGAAGGATTCATAAGTTTAAATAACATTTTAGACAACAAGAAATTATGGATTGGAATTTTAGGAATGTGATCATAAACTTTTCAGCTTTACATCATGGTGATAAATCATACACGAAAGAATCCATGATACCATTTTGAGAGGCAAAGCACTAGACAGACTATTCATACAACAAACCACAACTTAAAAAAAAAGTTTTATAATCCTTTGCTAATTAGGACTAAGCAGAAAAAACTTGTAGCCAGAGGACTGGCTATGGATATTCCCTATGAATTCTTTGAAAAGTCCTTTTGTGCTCACTGATGTTTATATATAGTTCTATTCAAATATATTTCAACTCAGCAAACAGCCAATGAAATGAATTGCTGCTATTCAACACCAATGATTCTAGATAGATGCTTGTTTTCAAATCTACCTTCAACTCTTCAAATTGGTCATTAACCTTGGATCCCTTTCCTGCCTGGCTCTTGCAATGCCATTTTTGATGTTGGGCCCCCATTTCTACTCTGCTTTCCACAGTCTGCTTCTGGAGATACCAAGAGACGCTACAAATCATTGGACTGTGCTGACTAGGTCTGACCTCACCTTTTCCTTTACTGTTGCTCCACCATCATAACTTTAAGTTATTTGACTTGTATCAATTCCATGGACCAAGTTCCCCAGCCTCAATTCATCTTAAACAGAATAAAACAATAACCAGTTTCACGACAACTTTGTTGATAAGGCCTTCCATTAGAGATCTATTCAATTACTTCCTTTCCTTATAAAATGATGTGTGACTGTACCATTCTATCACCTAAAAATTGTTGTATATCCCCTTCTTTTCTCCATTTCCCCTGCTCACTTATTTTACCGACTATACTCCAGTTGACACATCTTTTCTCCCATTCCCAATTTCTAAAGTGATTACTTGCAATTTCACCAATAATTCTGCTATTTGATCAAATAAATATCCCCCATCAACTTTTTTTTTTTTTTTTTTTTTGAGTTGGAGCCTCACCCTGTCGCCCAGGCTGGAGTGCAGTGGCATGCTCACAGCCACTGCAGCTTTGACCTCCTGGGTTCAGGTGATCCTTTTGCCTCAGTCTTCCAAGAAGCTGGGACTACAGGCATGCACCACCACTCTTGACTAATTTTTAAAAAATTATTATTTATTGTAGAAATGAGGTCTTACCAAGTTGCCCAGGCTGGTCTTGAACCCCTGGGCTCAGGCAATCCTCTCATTTCTGCCTCTCAAAGTGCTGGGATTACAGAGGTGAATACACTGCGCCCAGCCCCCACCAACTTTCTTAACCTCTTTTTTATATATAACATTGCTGAAGCCTTTTTTCCCTGACATTTCCTCTTCTTTAGGTTGTGATATCCTACTCCCTCACTTACCCTTCTGAACATCTAGGCTATTTCCAGTGACTTATTTTCATTTCTACCCCTTAAATGAGGAAAGAGCAGTGGGAGATTCCCCAAAGTTTGCCCCTTTCTACCATTTGCTCTACAAGCTCCCAGTGACCACATTACTATGACTCATCTATCACGCTCCAAAATATTTCCAAATTCCTCTCCCACTGTCCAGTTCCTTATTTCTAAAGGTCTCTGGTTATGTATACCTGTCAGCATCTTGAACTTTCTCTAAAACACAACTCATCATCTTCTCTACCTCGAAAAAGCCTTTCTCCTCATTTCCCTATTTCTATTAATGGTACCTGTGCCATCATATTCGTAGCCACCTAATCAAAACCTTGGAGTTATTTTTTATTATTTTCCCTTGGTTCTCAAATCCAAATAATCAGCAAGTCCTGACAAAATACTTATTATTTTTGGTAAATATCCTAGATCTGTCACTTCTTTCCATTATATTCTCCCCATATTCACGATAGCTTAGTTCTCTATTATCATCTATTTAGTCTTTCCATAATCCTCTATCTATATTACCTACCACCAGCTTAATTCCCTTCCCAGATAGCCAACACATACGATTACTTTTTCTAAAATATCACTTTTATCATGTCACTATTTTCCTTGATGGCTCCACACTGATTACTGAGTAAAGTATAAACTTTTAGATTTAGTATTTACCCTCTAAGGCCTAACTTCAGTCACCTGCATGAACCCAATTATCCTTTTTTCCTCCCTAGTGCAGACTATCCTCTACTTACAATCACATTCTATTTTTTTGTTTATGCTAATACCCTTATCATTCTCTACTTAACTCTTGAGCAGATAAAATCTTATTTATCCTTCAGAATTCACTCAAATGCCAACTGTTATGCCTCTTTTCTGAACGTTTTTAAGTTCTGTTAAACAATGTATTTTTTCACTTTAATTATCTGTGCACATAATTTTTTCTTAAACTATGTGGGCCAAGTTTTATCTATCCTGATAATATGTGCTATAGCACCTAACACAATGATACACATATACAGTTGTTCAATATATACTTGGTGTTTCAGTCTTTAGGGAAGTAACTATCAAGTATTTTACCACTACACATAATAAGAAATTGTACTGATATCATCATGCAGTATAAATAAAATATTACTGTCTTAACACATACAATTCATCTTGACATTTTAAATTCTATTCCATTTCACTTGCTAAAATGGTAGTTGCAAACCACTAAATTAATTTAACAAAAGTCCAAATTGTAAGAAATCTACTTTAGGGAATTTACAGCATGCTGTCATTGATTTTAAGATAATCCATTCATGATACAATGCTTGATTCATATAACAAAATCATTATATTATGATGGACTGTAGTCTACTGCTACTAAGTTTAGACTACTGCTGAATGTGAGCTCCAATCTTACCTTTTCAGTGTACAACCTTGTGCCAGCAGCAGGTGTAGCACTGTGTGAATTTTTTTAATATAGCAATGATGATTAGACTCACAGTAAGATAATTATATTTTTGGTTCTAAATGTCATAGTCTTCCAAACCCAAAAGCTGTCAAATAAACAAAAGTAGGCCTGACTTATACTGACTCAGCAATTCCTACTTTAAAAGATAGCATCTCAAGAAATCTTATGAGTCAGACAAAATAATGAGCAAAAGAAGCTAGTTACAAAATAGTATATACTCTATACTTCTAGTTATTATAAAATTCAAGAACAGGCAAAAGTAATCTAAGCTGTTATAAGTCAAAATGTAAATGGTTTTAATGTAAAGGTGGGAGTGGTGATTCTACATGAGATACATCATAAAAATTCATCAACTATGCACTTTAGATTTTTGT